CGTCATCCAGCTTGGAGCAGCAGCAGCAGACTCACACCATGAAGGCATTGTTCCAGCTGACGTCTCATCACAGCGGACAGAAAAGCAAAGTGTTGATCGGAGCAGGAATTTCAAATGAAACCTGCATCAGATCTGTTTCAGACTGAGTCTTACTGTAAACTGTTTTTGAGGGTTGTGATCTGGTTTAGTCTTGGTGTTGGTGAAGAACAGGGGCACACAGATATGTCACTTTTGGTATTCACTGTGTTTGTTTACAGCAGAGCAGCTACTTCCATCTGACACCAGGTTAGATATGTGATTTGGATTAATATCAATGTGATGCTGAATTTTGTTGCGAACAATAACTACACAGTGTCTTAAAAATGTGCGCAACATTCACTTGATGACATGAGATCTTATTGTGTTCCTTTGCATTTCAGCAAACTCGATTAATGTCTGAAAAATCTGCTTCATATCCAACAGCCAAAGGTTAAAAACGACCGGTAACTCCCGCAGAGATCCCTGTGTTTATGCACACAGACACACACACACTAACACACACACACACACACACACACACACACAGAGCGTGGGCTTGCTCTGCACTTGTGGAGGAGGTTTAATGATAAACGGGCTTCCCTGTCTGTCTGCCAGCTCAGCACTACAGTCTTCGATTCAAACCCTTCAACGAGCAGAGGATCGCTCCTCTTCAGCCTACACTACAGCCGCTTTAACACCAACACAATGACACACGCACTAACACACACACACACACACTGTAACACAAGTCTGCACAGCGTATCTACATCTCTACATGTATTTGCACTTAACCACCTTCACAAGCTCCACAGACGCTGACAGAGCCGGTCAGCGTGGGAACTTGTCTGCAGGAACAGGTGACCTGAGCTCTACACCTGTGTCCTACTTCAACACTTCACTGCAAAAATACATCTCAAAAGCCACAAGAGAACACCCCGCAACACTGACTGGGTTTAAGATACTGTACGTGTTTTTGATATCGACTCACATGCCGTAAAAATGTTTCCTTCAGTTACTTTTATTACAAACTTACCATCACTATTTTTTCACTTAAAACAGAATAACTCAGATCTGAGCTCAGAATTTAACTGTTTGGTGAAGCCTAGAAAATACATCATGCTGATGTTGAAACTACCTTTTCATATCATATCATAGTTTGAAACTTTGTTCGCTTCTGCCATCTTTGTTTAAACCTCTGAATGAAGTCACAGTTACTGGGTAAACTGTAACAGCCTGTGCTTTGTTCGGTAACTGGGAAAACTGGGGGGACTCCTGTTTGTTCTGTCCTGTAGAGCAGCACTTGAAAAGAAATAGACTGTTGGTATTTATAGAGCAGAGAGCTGAGTGTTTGGTGTGTAAAACCGGACCTTTCCTCGTCCTCTGATTCGGTTACTAAAATTAATCCTGATGGAGAGCAAATCAAATTATCTCTGAGTCTTTGTTCCAGTTAAATGCATATTACTGCAGCTTTATTCCATCTGCTAAACAGAAGCATTGTGTAATTAATACAGCTGCTGCTGCGATCCATCTCTACCAACCAGCTCATTAGGTAGTTATGAATTATTCACCCACAGAGGGAACATGACAGCGTATAGCTTCCTCTACCTGCTGGACGTAGAGGGAGACACCTTGATCATTTCTGGCTGCATGTGGACTCAGGTGGAGGGGTGACAGACAACAGAAGACCTGGTCTGAGACTGTTGTCCTTTCAGAATAAAACTAACTAAACAAGAGAAACAAGAGTTGTTTTATCTGGTTATGTGGTGTGCATACATCCAACATGAAAAAAAAAAAGGTTAAGCAATATTCTCATGTGATATTATGCTCAGGCTAGGACGCTCAAATACAGCTGTCATGTTTCCCTGCTGTGGTCAGGGACATATGTTGTGTGAACTTCCATAATCTGACGCACTCTGGTAGTTTCACAACTTCCTGATTGATAAGCAACCACAGAGACCGTTTAGAGAAAATCAGGTGAGAGATCAGACCTTATTAAATGTATAAAAAATATAAATGATAGTCTGTTAGCTAAGACAAAAACACAGAAAACATCAGTATTCAGACCCTTTGTTTTACAAAAAAGTATCTTATAATTCAGTCAGTTTGGATGAAGTTGATTTCTTCAGGAATGTCGTCCTTCACCAGGTTCAGCTTCTGTTTTTAAAGCCCAAATACTTAAGAATCCACTGAGTTGATTTTAATGCAGTAAAAGAGGAAAATTTGACCATTTATAGTTCAAGCATCCACTGAAGTGAGTGATAACAACACTCCTTTTTATGAAGACCCAGCTCAGGTTTAAAGATGCAGGTCCTCAGAGGACTATGAGATATGATTGTTCCAGCAGCCTCTGATGAACCCAGGCGTGAGCAGGAACTCAAATCTTTGGCCATCCACAAAAATCAGCTGATTTCAGGTAAATTATAACAACAACAAAGAGTGAACTGCAACAAGAGAGTTTAACGTACCACAGCCTGCCAATGTGAAGGGGCTAAAACCTGCAGAGTTAAAAACCCAATCCACTCGCAGGAAACATCTTCACAACTAAATTAAACGTTTATGTCTATGTTTCATTTCTCAAAACACACACACTGTACACGTGGTGACAACTTTCATACTTAATTCATTTTGAAAAGGTCAAGTTTTTTACAGTAATGAGCACAGTTGACTTGCTGACAGGTGGACACACTGTGGTGGCTAAAGGCCCACCTCCACCCCGACTCTTTACCTCTGACTTGGCCAACCAAAAGTTAGTTTGGAGACGTCCATGTATAAAAAATGGATATAGTCTCAGTGACATCCCAAACTCTGTCCTCCAGGTTGTCTCTCTATCCATTGTCTCATATCTGTATAAGGTGTAAAGAGCAGGAAAGATACACTTGGAAAAGAAAACACTGGTGGATCAGAAAGCAGCTAAAGAGTCAGCTAAATGGTGGAGACCAAAAATGAGCTAACAGGGACACAAACATCAGAAATGAGCTGCTGGATGTGAGAATAAGTTACTGATTCTTCAACAAAGTGTAGCTCACTGTGATGACCACCGCCTGATATGTTCACCCAGGACACCTTCACGTAAACATCCATGCAACCCTAATTTACAGCCTCCAGCGTGATCAGCTTTTCTCCTGCATGCACACACCTTGAATGAAACCAAACTGGCCTAGGCGTCATGTGCATGCTCCACAGGTCAACACCAGGCTTGGATCCCTCAGTGAAGGAAGCCAGGCGATCAACAAAAGATGTAGAACAGTAGAAAATCTGACATTATTGTATTATATGTACAAAAGATACAGAGCTGCAAAGTTGTGCATGTTTCCACTGTTTGACATACAACCTCTTCCTCACTTGTTTGTTGATTGTTTTGGTATGTGACGTAAAAGGTCGACTGGATGCTGAGAGAGGACGTACCAGAGAAGTCCAGAAAAGGATTCAATCCATGAATCAGTTCTTATACACCAGGACGTGGACAGTAGAACAGCTGAATCCCCTACTGATGCTGTTACTGCTGCTGGGCTTAAACTGTGCATGTAAATGTGGAGATTTACAGTATGTGGAGACTGAGCTCAGCAAAATGCACCTGAAATCACAGACGCAGAAAGGTGTGCTGCTACAGCTGCAGTGCGTGTGTACAATTTATGTGTATGTGTTAACCCTTGAGCTGTGTGTGTGTGTGTGTGTGTGTGTGTGTGTGTGTGTGTGTGTGTGTGTGTGTGTGTGTGTAGGGACCGGACAGTGCAGCATCACTGCTCTGCCTCTTCTGCAGAGCGGCCCATGTGACAGATGGAAGCTATAACGGAATTAGAGACAAGAAAAATCACAAGGGCCCATTATGAGCGAGCCCTCTCTGCCTGACAACAAGGATTAAAGGCACACCACCACCACCACTAACATCATCATCATCTTCTTCATCATCAGCACCATCACTATCATCATCCTCAGTGGAGCAGCAGCAGCATCACTCCGGGCATTCTGCACAAACCGCATCCAGCAGAAACATCCGCACTTTTTTTTTATCAGGCATTTCTCCGCTCCACATTTCCCGCAGAGACACATCAGGAACACGCCACGGTGCAAAACCTGCAACCCAACATGATGTCAGCAGAGCCTGCGCGGGGCCGGCGCGGTGATGCTGCGGGGATTCCTGACAGCATCACCCGCATCGTGAGGCTTTCACTAACCTGTCTGTCCTTTGCCCAGCGTCTTCTCCAGGCGGTACGGTCCCACATAGTTGGCGTAATGCCCGCTGTTGGCGTCCTTGCCCGATGATGACATGTTTTGGTGTGAAGTGACTCACGAGGAGAGGGATTTCTTGCGGGTTTTCCGTGTTGGACGCGTTCCCTGGAGCGAAAAGCGCAAAAACCGCGGCGCAGTGGAGTTCGCCTCGGTCGGCGTTCCCGTCCTTCTCAGCTGCTGGTCGCTGCAATAACCGTCCTCCTGTGCGTGCGTGCGCGTTGCGTGCGAGTGCGCGCGTAAGTCTCCAGGTCCTGCGCTCACCGTCCTCGTGCTGGTTCCGTCCTCGCGCGGCTCAGATGGCGGGTTTAAACCGGGGTGTCATGGTGTTGGTGGCGGAGGAGCGGTGCGCTGCAGCCCCGTTGGGTGTGATCTGATGATGGGACAGCATCAACTGCTGCTGCTGCCGCTTCAGCAGCCTGCGTCAGCGATCAGCGGACGAGAACGGCCACTTCCGTTTGTTTCTTTCAAAATAAAACAAAGGCTGCCATCCTTAAGTTTCTGCTACTACATGGATAGTGAAAAAGCAGGGGTGGAAGGGGCACCAAAGTATGTTCCTCAAGTAGAACTGGGGTCAGCAGCGATGCAGACGCTTAACCGATCAGTCATGGTGAAGAAAGAGCCGAGCTGTAAGGGGAGACTCTCGATTTATCGGTCGATCTACGTGCCGACCCTCACCTATGGCCATGAACTTTGGGTAATGACCGAAAGAACAAGATCGAGGATACAAGCGGCCAAAATGAGTTTCCTTCGGAGGTAGAGATCGGGTAAGGAGCTCAGACACTAGGGAGGTGCTCAGATTAGAACCGCTGCTCCTCCACGTCGAGAGGAGTCAGCTGAGGTGGCTCGGGCATCTGGTTAGGATGCCTTCTGGACGCCTCCCGTCAGAGGTGTTCCAGACATGTCCCACCAAGAGGAGACCTCGTGGCCAGGTGGACAGATTATAACTCTCACCTGGCCTGGGAGCGCCTGGGAATCCCCTCGGAGGAGCTGGTGGAAGTGGCTGGGGTCAGGGCCGTCTGGGCTTCCCTCCTGAAGCTGCTGCCTCCGCGACCCGGACCTGGATGAAGCAGAAGAAAACGACAACGACTTTCAGCACTAAGTATCTATATCTAACACACCGAGGTATGCCCTTGCCATCAGCACTTTTAACCCAAACTAACAGTCACAATAGTGTAACCAACAGTATAAATGCAGGCAAAATTATTGATTATGTTGCAGCATCTTTTGACATTATTGCACTTTGTACCAGTACTTTATTGATTGTTATCAGGAAAAAGGCTGTAAATGTCAATATAATGTGTGTGCAGAGCCACAGGCTGCAGTTTCAGGGCCGCAATGCTACTACCCTCTTCAGCAAAATGTCCTTAATAAGTGTCATGATTCATTTTAAGAGAGATATCAAAACTGCTGTCAAAAATATAAAGAAAAATAAATTTATGTAATGTCGGGCCAGTGCAGCTCGAATCTAATTTAATGAGGTCTTAAATGAGACAAGTTGACTCTGTAAGTTTTAATTTTTTTGTGCACTGCAGATCAACCAACCAGCTGAAAGTTTCTTTTAACCAATGCTCAGTTAGCTATTTAAAAAAAAAGAATTAACTTTAAATAGTCCACAGTTTTTGTCAGAAAATAATTTAGGGTCATAAAAGTGTTGTTTTTCAAACCTACCACGCAATAAGCTAGCGGCTAACTATATTTACATACAACTTTTCAAATTACAAGTTATAAAGTGCTCAACAAATCATTAAACAACAGAAACAGGACAGGTGGTTTAATAAAAAGGCAAATAACGATCAAAACAAATATTAGCAAATAAAATAAATGACAAATAAGGAAAATCTATAACTCACTAAACATAATATAATACGACAAATCTAACTAAGTCCTGAAAAAGTCAGAGGACAAGTAGATCCTTGCTGACAGGACTAAAAAACTGGGAATAAAACAGACATTTCTCTAATATTATTTTTTAATTTCCCTTAATCAAATGTCTTTAAATTAGGATTTATGGTTGATTTGCAATCTTTAAACAATTGTACACAACACAACTCCTCTTTTTTTCAAAAACTCGTTTTATTTTGAAAGGCAAGTTGTCTAACTTCCGCTGCCTCACCGGCTTGACGCAGCTGCTTTCATTAGGGTACACGCATGCGCAGAAAGCTTTCATAGCAGGGACTGGTGTTTGAATTGGAGTCGAGGTGACAGAGGGAGATGAGAGGCTGCTGCTGTTCAAAACTGCTCTTTTCAAATCCAGAAATAGCTGCAACAGAGTTTAAAATAAAACTTAGAGAGACAGATTCTCCCATGATGCAATGGGGAAGTGTTCTGTTCTGCCTCTTTTTTATAAATCCATAAAAACAACAATTGCATCAAAGTTTAAATGTCTTATTATGAGTGCACGTGTTTGATTGATTTTTGAGTTTCTGCTCATTTAAAAACATCAACCAGACGCTCAATTGTTAATTACATCTGAAGATAATTATTTGTCACTGTGGTGGGTCTGTGTGTGTGTGTGTGTGTGTGTGTGTGTGTGTGTGTGTGTGTGTGTGTGTATAAACAGGTTACACGCTGGGACACTTTCATTTGATTAAACCAGCGGTTGGTGACAAAGACCATCTATCTGTCTCATCACTCCTTGGCGACAAAAGCCTTTTGACCCAGCACGCTCAGTGGCAGATGGCCCTCCCACCGCCTCCCATCCTCCCCCTCCTCTTGCTCCTGCCTCCCCCCTTTCTTATCAACCCCCCCTGTTTCAAATCCATGTCCCTAACAAAGACTGGGGGGCCTCCATTTTACCACGTTGAGACTTGCTCGCCACAGGGCAGCTTTCCCCTAAATTACATCCTGTTAATTAATGTAACACCCCCACCCAGCCCGCCCCACCCTCTGACGCTGACACAGGTGGAGGTTGTGACCCCCGTCCACGGATCAATAATGATTTCCCTCTTAGATTCATGCCACAGGGACTGATGTGTGCCGCCTGATCCCGCGGTGGCTGTTAGTCTGTTTGACAGCTGCAGACAGTAAAACCTCCGCGTCCTAATCACCTCGATGTGGAATAATCTGCCATCATCAGCCGTGTCTCTGAGGACGGAGAGCAGGACTGATGAGTGAGGATAGATGTCTCTGTATCACCACAGCTGAGGTTTTTATGTGGACGAGAACAGGACTGCAACACTTTAAAAGCCCTAACCTCTAAAAATGATTCACGAGCCCAATGTGAACTTGGCAAAACCGCCTCTTTATGAGCATAATAGAGCAAAGTTGGGTGACTGGTGTTTTGAGGGGTCAGCCAGCACCTAACAGACACTTTAACGCACAGCCTGAGATGGAGATGAACCAGCACCTCACATGTTTTCAGCAAAGATGCTATTTTTGGAAAAGGACAGATTTCTTTGAATGCATCACACGTCCTGCAGTTGACGTCTGAGCGAAGCATGATGCAGGCCTCGCTGGACTGCTGCTCGCTCTGTCTGTCACACAGGCAGCAGGTCAGCAGCACCCAGGGTTGCTTAAGTAAATGTAAACTTTTAGAAATATTTAGTCAGGGCTCTGGTTAATCTCAGCAGCCAAAGTAAGCTCAGAAGCTGCAGCAGCCCTGAGCTCCACTTAGACCCTCAGCTCTGCGCTTCATGTCCCCCCTGCTCCCCCGGCTCTCATCAGTTGTCCAAAAACAAAACGGTTAAAAGGGAAAAATCTGCAGAAGCTCTATGATCACTTTATCAAAAGACCTGTTTTATTATCCTGAGAGCACAAGGACAGTATCCTTGGAAAAAACAGATTTACCGCTATGACGGGGACATGAGGTAAAAGATACATGGATGCATGTCCATTTAGGGCTTCCATAGAAATCTGAACAAGATACACATCTTTTTTTTTTCTTTTTGCAGAGAACCATGAGCATCTTGTGACAATGATATACCTTTAGGGCAGTGCAACAGCTCAGGCAGGCTCAATTATGCTCATACAAGAGGTAAAGTGAAAATCAACAAGTTTTTTAGGATCAGACAAGCACGGTGCAGGGCTAAAGTCGACCTGTTGGTTTTTGTGAAAGCACTAACAATGACTAAACCTGACTTATGGATGACCAAGACACAGACTAAGAGATGGAGCTGAGGCGGGCTCTTCATAGCTTCCTGGTAAACAACCACACTGACCTGTCAACTCAGCCGCAAAACCCCAAATTATCCAAATTCGTTTATAACTTAGCTTTGTAATGTCATAATAACACAGTGACTGCCAAAGTCGGGAATACAACCCCAAAGATGGGCCCTTGGTTACAACAGAGGGGGCTTAAAACAAACTGTACACAGATTTCTGCACTGCTAACAAAGACTGGCCAACTTTGTGAAAGAGCTGATCATCAATCCAAACCAAATTCACAAAAACTAAACCGTCGAAAAATGATAAAGCTTGACCTCAGCTTAAAAACCTGAAAGTCGTGTGCTGCTGTCACTCTCCACTTACTTGACTTGTGAAATAAACTAACCAGCCTTCATTTTTAGTTCAATGTCACAGACTTAAAAGTTTGCAGTTCTGTTTCTTTTCTGCAGACGATCCTCCGAGTAAATCTAAAGACACAGGAATTCATTTGTAAAGGATGAATCTGTTTGTGCGGTGGATGTCATCAGAATAAACTCATCATGAGACTGTTTGCTTTTCCCTCTCTCTATGTGAGTGTTAGCGTGTGTGTGTGTGTGTGTGCTCAAACCGGTGATGCACATTTCTTTAGTGGCAGAAGAAGAGGGAGATATAAATACTGAAGCAACGGACCAATGAATGCGCCCTTCACTTTTCAAGACATTTGTGGGAGAAGCAGCTTAGCCTGCAGTCTATTCCTGCATTAGTCAGCTCTATTGTGGCCGTCTTGCCAGCGGGGCAGGATAATGTAGATGCACACACTCTCACACACACACACAAAGATGCACACACACTCAGCTCCCTCACATATATCAAGCCAAGGACACCAAATAAGTGATACATTAACACACTGGACATCGTCTGTTACCTTGCACTCTGTGTTGGTTCTACTTGTACCGCCAGATTTTGCACTATCATCATCCTGCACCACCTTAGGCCCGTCTTGTGATGGTTCAGGTTCTGTTTTAATGGTTTAAATAGTTTTAATGAGTGTATCCTCTTCTCTATAAGGTTCCCTGAGAGTCATAGCACTCCTGTACAAAACTATTGTTATTCTGTATTCATTACTCTAGCACCAAAACACCAAATCCTGGAATGTGTGAATCTACACGGCAATAAACCCAACCTGGATTCATTTTCTGATTCTGAAGGATATAAAGTGAACGGAGCAACAACAGACATCGGTAATTCAATGTTTGTAGGAATCATCAGAGGGGTTCAGTGTATTCAAACAACACATCAAACAGAGAAAATTCTGGAGAGTGTGTTTTCCATCAGCAGCGGCGAGGCTCAGTATTTCATCTGGAGCTCTCATCAGTGTAAAAAAAACCCTCGCTCCTTTTGTTTGTTGTGGGCTCTACATGTTCAGGGTGTTTCTAATCAACTCTCATGGGCCCATTTCCAACAAATTACATCTCATCTGAAATAGTATTTCAGCTAATTTCATTTTGATTCAGACTCATTTTGGCGTATAATTGAAAATGGTGCGCAGAGTGTTGTTGTAAACAAAGCAATTCAAAGGCCAAACAAGTACACATGAGGGGGGGCTGCGCCTTAAACTGAACGTACGGAGATCTGTTTCTCTTGCTACACACTGCACATGAGAGTATGACCTCACTGTTTCAGATTAAGAAACATTTGTGAATACTAAGAAAAGTCTGAATGATGTGGAGTTTAATTTACAGGCTTGTCTTTGTGTTCCTGTTTTTGGTTGTAAATTAGAGTTTCTCTAGAATTTTGATTGGGCTGATTTTTACAGCAGCTCCTGCAATGCATGATATGTACAATATTTCATTCACCAAGATTTTATCATCAAAAAATATATATTATTTTGCACTATTCAGTATTTTATTTTGACCGTTCAATGGTGAAAACACACTTTTACTCCCTGACTTTTAACTCCTGAGAACTTGGCCTTTTAATCATGTTTTCACTGCACCATCTATGTCCCCCTGTTTTTAATGTGTTCCTGTGTCTTGTTTTATTGTTCATGTTAACTGTCTGCTTCTTTTTATTTGTTTTAAATTTAACTGTTCAGCGCTTTGTTGTTTTTAAATGTGCTATATAAATAAACCTGGATTGGATTGGATACAGGATTGCTGAGTCTCCATGGAAGAGGACTCGCTCCTCCTGTTTATATAAAAGGGTCACTCCAAGATCACTCCAAGTCATTTTTTTCCTCTCAGATGATTTTGCACTGATGTTAAAATACTTAAAATTCTATTCCTACCAAGTCTGTTCAGTGAAATGCTGATAAATAATACATCATACTAAGTTAATACTGAAATTACAGTAGCTAAGTGGCTAAGTGAGCACTGTGGTTAACCGACACTCTGTATTCAGAGGCAGAGGAATTAAAAATAGTTTGATATCATTTACAGCCTCCTCCCTAAACACCTGCTATTAAGTAACCAAACGCTCAGAGATCTCAGCAGATTAGTGTCCTCCTTGGTTGCTGTATGTTGCTCTGGGGTGGGTGTTCATGGCTGTTTTACAGAATGGAGGAACAACAGAAATTAATAGGAAACAAAGTCTGTTGTTCTCATCGCTGCCTGCTACACTGCAGCTTAACAAAAGCTCTACACGAGACAAATTGGTGGTAATTAAGAGGGGGAGGCAGAGGCATGTGTGTCCTTCTGTGATTATTATAAAACTGCTAATTTAGAGAGTTCTTCTGTAAACTCATTTAGATTACAGCACAGCAATTAAATTGGCAAAAGACTGTAATTACCAACACCACTCAATATGCAACCTCACATTGCATCCAGTTTTCCTGTTTGTGTCAGGGCCAGTCTGGACCGCTTCTCATTATCTTCTTATCTTTTATTTAGAGTGTTTTAAGAGTGACAAAGTTTAATGTAAAAGAAGTGCTGCCACGTCAGAGCAAAAACAACAACGACCCATCTCCACTTTCTACCTCAGATATGTTCCCTGTATTCAAGCGCACTGTGAGATTCTGCCACCTAGTGGATCTACTGCAGAACAGCATTTATTTATTTGACACTCAGTGACTCATACTACAGTCAAGCCTGAAGGAAGTCATATCTCCTTAGTTATCCAATCCTTTGTGTCTGAGAACTGCTCAAATAGTAGCTAGAGCAAAACTTCAGCTGTCTGATGAATGTGTAAAGAGTGGGAAATTTCTAAAAACAGATACTAGAGTAACGCTCAGATTAGATAACTGTATGGAGACATAATTTTCCCATTAAAACTTGTATTAAAACAATTATTCTTGTGATGGTCAAAGGTTAATTCTAAGAGATTATAATAATGGAATTGAGGAATAATCACCTTCATTGCTACAAACTCATCAGATCTTCTCTCAGTTGGTCACCTGCCCTACCAGGTGCAATGGGATTTTTGACCTGTGTTGTGGATCTGTCAAAGGAGCATTTATAAGTCCTTTCCTCTTCCTCCACTGGGTGGGGCTGATCATATCTGTGTGCAACTCTGCCAGCATATCGCTCCACCCTCAGAAGGGGTAAAATCATCACCAAACAGATCAAAAACTGGAATGACGACTCCAAACTGAGTTCACAGGGTTGTCTTGACCTCACTGACTGGGACACCTTTAAGGAAACTAGCAGTGATATTGATGAACTGACTGATGTTGTCTGTAGTTATGTGCATTTTTGTAAAGATAACGTGATTCCAAAAAAGACTGTCAAGGTACTTCCTCACAGCAAGCCCTGGGTGTCCAAATCTTTGAAAATGCTGCTAAACAAGAGAAAGACATTTGGAGAGGGTAACCTCACAGAGCTGAACCTGCTCAAAGGGGAGATTATGAACAAAATAAGAAAGGCAAAAAATGAATTACAAGCAGAAGTTGGAAAGAGAGCTCACCAACAATAGATTGGGCCCTGTTGGAAATGCTTTAAAAACTATAGTTGGCCCAGAAGACAAAGGTGGCTCTTTTCTCTGCATGTTTGGTAACCTTCACACCAAGTAAAAAAAATGCACTAAGCAGAGTCAAAAACAAACAATAAGGTCAAAACGTAGGAGCTGCCTGAGAGGCATTTGTAGGAATCTGCTGACCTGCTGTCTCTCAGTTGTGTTTCGGTTTTATGTTTTAGTTGACTTCTTAATCTGTTCTTAATTTAATCTTGGTAGATTATTTAACTCTGTCTTTTGATACAATAAATTCCATGGTTAACAATTCAAGGTGCTTTCTGTTACCTTACATGGGTCAATGTGTGGATAGTTGTTAGTGATGGTGAGATGAAGCCTCTTGAAGCACTGAAGCTTTCCATCTAATTGCTGGACTCCTGGGCCGAAGCTTCTTTGTGCTTCATTTGCTCTACTGTGCCATCAAGTGGACAATAAATGTAGAAGAGGCAGAGTGATTATCAAAGACAACCCAAGGCTTTGGTGCATGAAGCTTTGAATTGAATAAATACATGAATGTGATGCCATGTGTTTGTGATACAATACAGAAATTATGTAGTTATTAATATGGTGGCTGTCTTGAGGGTAAAAAGGGGAAGAGGACATAAATTATGAAGAGGGTTGTGATGTGAATGTGCTTGTGTTACTTAGTTTATGTCTGTGATTTTGTTTTGGGGACAACATAGTACATTCTGGGTCTATATAGTCCTGTTTTGTTTTTTTTACCTGGCACAACAATGAATATCAGTGTCTTATTGTCTAGTTGTATGCACAGCTAAGCATGTATCCATTTATCTGTCAATAACCACCTTGTCTTTTATTTTTTTATGAACTTTTAATGTGGATGTTTACTCACTAAGTACAATATCCAGTCTATTTAGTTTCTCAACTAGTGTCATTTTTTGGGCTTTTCCTGCATGCCAGTTAACCAAAATTTACACATAAACCATCACAGACTATACCATTTTTGAGAGATGATAACTGCTCAGATAAAAGTCTTGACTAAAACTCCAGCTGTCTGAAGAATGTGTGAAGAGTGGGAAACTTCCAAAAACAGATACTAAAGCAAAGCTCAGATTAGATAACTGTATGGAGACATATGTTTCCTATTGAAATGTGCATTTAAACAACAGGTCTTGTGTTTGTCAAATTCTTTGATAAGATACAATCATTATGGAATTGAGGAATAATCACTTTCATTACAACAAATACTTAAACCAGACCTATTGACTTGTTTTCCCCATTAACTGAGATCAGTCTGTTAACAATATTTTGCAGTTCTTGTTAATAATGCACCTATTTTTATCATGACTCCTGACTCTAAAACCATATATCTCTAAGAGTCTCTGTTGTTTCTGTTACTGCTGTTTGTCTCTATCCATCTCTGTCTGCATCTCCTCTTTACAATCCATAAGCAGCAGATGCCTGTATAACATGAGTCTGGTTCAGCTCAAAGGTTCTTTCTCATTGTTACTGGAACTGCTTTCAAGCACTTCATTTTTGTGCATTTACAACAGGAGTCTTTGACTTCTTTGAAATACATCCTGCAGTGATGCAACTCCAGCTCATTTTCACTGTTGGGTGCATGCAAATAACTGAATAACTCAGGGCTCCTATGTCCCAACAGTACTGTGAGTGAATCTTATGTCACCCTCTACAACATGATTGTCTTTGCCCTTCGATTACCTATTACTGGCAACTGCTTTTATTCATGTGAGCGCCTTGATTTCCAGTAACTGCTTATTATATGAACTCAGATGACATGTATAAAGTTATAAGGTCAAGAGATAAGATAAGCATCCTGCTTGTACCAGTATCATAGTCAAGATTTATCTCCATTTCACCTGCTGGGAAATGCTGATTTGGTTAAGATGAACTCTGAGACAGTCATTTACATTTGGCAGTCATTTACAGCATGACTGGATCCTCAGTGCCTTGCCATGTTTTTACTGACACTTAGTGTGTGGATACGTGTGTGCGTGTGTGTGTGTGTGGGAGGGGCTGCTGTGCATGCCTGTGTGTGTTGCTGTGGGTGGGAAGGGACGGGTTTTATACTTTTTTTATTGCATTATATTTGCCGTTGTTTGTTTTTATCTTTTTTGTAAAGCACCTTGTGTTGCAGCTTGTATGAAAGGTACTTTATAAATATAGTGTGATTTGATTTGATTTGATTTGAGACACTGATTGTAACAATATTCTTGGTGTAATTTGTAAATCTAATAAAAGGAGAGTTTAGATTTCAGGTTGCCCTGTACATACTGGGTCTATTTAATACTGTTTTTTGTTTTTTTTTAAGCCAGCTCAACGCTATAACGCTTAATACCTGGACTCAGATGAATATTGTCTTTCTGTCATAAAACTGACAATGATAGTTGTACACAGAACGAAGCATACATCCATTAATATGTCAATAACTGCGTTTATTCAAAATTAACTTATTAACTTGTTAGCATACTGTTTTAAGATTCAAAATTCAAGCTTTTCTATTGTCTATATCTGTTATATATGAGAACATATACAGGAATGGAAAAGAGGTTTTTCTCCCGCTAACAGTGCAGAAATATATCAAAAAATCATAATCAGTAACATCTCTATTACTCGTCAGTCTGGTTTCGAGCTCAGAAACTACATCATTAAAACTGTGCACAGCATTTGGAATAACAGATAAATACAATGGCCTTGATTTTAACAAAATGCTCCTTGCCCTTTATTATCAGTTAAATAATTTACAGCATGACTGGACCAACTGTTATCTGACAACTGTCTTAATCATTTACCTACATTCAAATGACGTCCGTAAGATGAGCTGATAAGATGAAACACTTGTTTGTTTCAGCGTCTTAATAACACACTGTCAGCATAGATTTGGCTGACTCAGCCTTCATGACCAAACAAAGAGCAGAAACCTTAAAAATATAGATTTAAGCTACAATTTATAATCAGACAAAACTGTGTTTTTAGAAACATCTACATTTGTACAGAAAGAGGAATCAGTATAATTAAACTTTTGACTAATTGGTCAAACTAATAGGTCCAGGGTACAGCACTGGTGCTTTTACCTCAATGAACACTGCACAGTTTCCCATAAATAGACTACCTATGGGTGTATTTGTTTAAAATCCCTGTTAGCCATCTTTTGTCTTTTCTCTTTTACCTCTATATTTTTTGGCTTTACTGTCTTTTTAGATTTTGTTATAATCTTTTGTTATTTAACCTTTTAGCCCTTTTATTGTTTTTTCTCTTACTCATTTTTGTTATTCTATTTTATCATTCCTATTATTATCAGTATTATTTTACTATCATCATTGATATTGTCTTTTTATATTTACTATCCGGTTTTCTGCTCTCAACTCCCCCTTTTATTGCATTTTCTTTTTCTTAACTGTTTTGTGTTTTTTATTTTGGTCCTCATGGTCTCATTTTATATTGCATGTTTCTTGTATTGTCTGGGTTCCTTACAAAATATGAAAATGGCCTTCAATTCTGAGGCCTTGTTTTAACTGAGCTTTATGCTTTTTATTTCCATGTGCTGACGTTCTGTGCTTTATAACTATTCATCAATGCCCTTTGTGAACCTCTGTTTTTAAAAGTGCTATAAAAATTAAGTCATAATTATTATTATTAGCCATTTATTTACTGGGAGGCCATGTCCCCTAACTTTCTATCTGTTCCTCACATATTGTGAGTAGTGTCTCCAAATGTGCCATCTGGGTGGGTGATCAGAGAGAGTGACAGATTCTGCATTAAATCTGACAGCAGGCCAACTCTGAAACAAGAAATGCTAAAAATGAAGGCGGAGAGAAAAAGACTTCCTATGTGGAAAATTAAGGGCATACAGAGCAGCTAGTGGAAGAAAATCCAACTGATGATGGTGGGAAGAAAGATCAAAAACTTACAGCTGTTCTGTGAGGACAGGAGCCATTTGTAGCAGCCTTCGGCTTCTTAAAAGCGGTAAATTAAATCATGTATGAAACAATAGCTCTATCTTTATGTTTTTATGGTGAGCATTTTTTATTGGACCAACATCAAACAGTAATCCGATCAAATCAAATCAGTTTATCACTCACTCATTTGTCAGACAGCCTCAAGGACAACAACCTCAAATTTGTCACGAAGAAACTACTTGGTGTGAAGATTTTTATGAGTTTATTTCATTTACCCGTTGTTATCTTTGAGTGGGCGTGAAGTCTTTAGTCTACAAATGTCACACACTCCTCCTCACCTACCACCAGAATAGAAGCACCTTTCAGACCTACAGAAAAAAGCTTCAGTCTTATATCAGGTAAGTCAAAGCTTCAGACACTAACTTCACTTTGATCAAACATGTTGTTTAGTGGTCAGGTTTGCACTTGTGGCCTATGTCTCTAAAAGAGGAACAGCAGTTCTCATGAAATTATTCTCAAATGATTTGTAACCTCAATGTCAACATTATAAGAAAACAATAAAAAAATAAATGCTGATGGTCCCATTTTGATCAGGGGTTTTATTATGTTTCATTGCTTTCATTTACTAAATACACCTATATTTGTCGTCTTAAGGTTTATGAAGAAGAGCTTAGAGGACCATCGCATCTTACAATGAACAATGATGAAGAAAGCGCTGGTAAGTAAGCTTAGTAAACTAGAATAATCCTGTGAGAATTAATTAAATCAAAATACAAACAATTAAAGAAAAGATTCTACACACCGGGAAACTCTCTTACTTGTTTTATGTATATTTATTACAAGCACGGGAATGCCTTTGGTGCTAAGTGAGAGACAGGGTAGTTTTTTAACAAACTAAAATCTGCTGTGAAGGACTTAGAGTTGTTGCCATGACACAAACCAAATGCACTGGAAATATAAATCTTTTGATTCGTTGTTTGTGTTTTGTTCCCCCCAAAAAACTATAAATACTTGTAGATGGGCTTTACTGTTTTGTGTAAATAACTTGATATATGTCACCACCTTTTTTATACCAGAGAAAATCTAGAATGTGTATTGGAGGTGGTCAGAAAAGAAATGAAAAAGATTAGACACTGGTTTGATGTAAATTATCTCTAAATATTGAAAAAAAAAATTGTTGTTATTGGGTAACAAAGGCAAAAACATTGATGCTTCAATAAATATTAAAGGTGTTGAAATTAATAGACTAAACAAAATAAAATGATAAATTGATTTGGAAATTACATATTAATGGAATGAAAGTGAAAACAGCATCAACGATTGCATTGTTAAACATAGTAAAAGACTACTCGGATAATAAAGCTTTGTACCTCTTGTATAATTTGATTATTGTTTCAAATCTGACGTACTGTGTTGAAGTGTGGGGAAGTGCATGTAAAACTTCCATCCAGCCTATTTTTATTTTACAAAAAAGAGCAATACATATTATTAGTAGAAGTCAACACAGAGATCCTTCAAACCCATTATTTGTTAAATTTCAGTTGTTGAAATTTAATGAGTTAGTAGATTTCAGTATGTTACAGATGATGTACAAAGCTCATAAGAAAATTTTACCAATCAACATCCAGAGCCGATTTGAAAAAAGAAAAAGTTGTTATAATTAAAAAGGATTTGAAGTATTTAAAAAGCCAAGATTCAGAACTAAACTGAAAGAGCGCTATGTTACAGTGAGAGGAGTAAGTTTGTGGAACATTCTGAACAAAGACTAAAGCTAAATCAAATTTTATCTTCAAAAAAAGTGTGAAAGCCAGTATGTTGAGTAAATACAGGGAAATCTGTTCATCTAAGTCTTGGCATGTTTGTTTTGTGAATTAACGTGGTCTTTTCTGTTCGTTTTGTGGGATGTTTTTGGTAAATAAAAATTTAACTGTAAAAAGGCATGTTGGCCTGTAGCTCTTGTTTGTTTTCATTAAGCTGATTAATATATTATGAAAGAGGGGCAGACTCTATAAAAGTTTTGTTCTTTCTGCTCCTTTTCATTCACGTTTGAGATTTTTCCTTGTTTGTACTAAATGTTTTAAATATTAACTGAATTAAATAAAGTATGGAAAAAAACAATGTAAAATAAAATAGCTATCCAGCTCTTTCCATATTTTTCTGTAGTCTATGTTTTAACAGTTAAAAATCAAAAGTGTCTTATATTGTTGAATACTGAAAAAATTTTTGACTTCTTCATTGTGCTATAAACTAAACAGATATTTATTTTGCCCTCAGGTTCGTAGAGTGGAGTGCAGAGAACAGCAAGCCTCAAAAATGGAGTCAGAAGAAAAGAGGTCGGGTAAGTTGGCCGACAGAGATGGCAGTGCACATGTTTCAAAACTGTCACTGTTTGTTGCCTTTGCAAAGGACGTTCTGTAGATTATATGCTAAACGAACACTCCCTGAAATGTGCACACAATCTGGTTACATGTGCACATGCAGCCAAAGACTAAGGATGCAGCCTCCTCCCATCAGAGGGAGAGCAATTCCAAGTTTTGAGGGTTAAAAACAAAACACTAATAATATTGATAACATCAGCAAAAGGAAAATGACATAAAGCTAACAAGCAATTACAAATATTTCTTCCAGACAACAATAAAACTTTCTATTCATAATGGTTCTGAATTACTTTCATTCTGAAACAGGAAATGACAGGTTATGACATTAACCTCACGAAAGTAAAGGCATTACAACTGCATACATTAATATTCAATTAATTCATTTAATATTTAATATTCGATTAACATTAATTCATGCAATTGTACCATGACTTTTGAGTTTTTTTGAGTCAGTGTGTTGCTGCATGTTCCATGTTATTTACACCTTTAGATGGCACCACCGAGTCAGGGGCAAAAACAATTCCAAAGTTCTAGGAGAAGAAGAGTTGTGATTGTGATGGGCGGTAAAGACGCAGCTAGAAGAAGAAGTAGCATTAGTGTGTTTACTTTCAAGCAGCCGAGAGCGGGAGCTGAGCATGAGTTTGCGCTGCAATGTTTATTTCTGTTAATGTTGTGAATAAAGGTGAGAGGAAGTGAAACGTCTCCCGGCGTCCGCTTGTGTATTTGGCTGCAAAATCCACCACAGGGTGGGAGTGCTCAGAGGGATTTCCCTTTCTGTGCTTCTCATATTCAGAATGGCAATTAGGATGTTTGGATCTCAGGTGATAAGTTTAACCCAACATAAAGAGAGCCTTTGCAGATGCACCCCCTCTTGAAATGTTAGCATTACACGCTATGCTAAATCGCTATCCCTGGTTCTGAGATATCTTGAAATACATCCACTCCGCAGACATGTTAGTCCTTATTCAGACAAGCACGTGCTGGCTTTTTAAAACACCTATCCCACATATAACATCAGAATATTCTATTTATGATAAGCCCACTATGAATGTCAAAACGCGCCAAACCATGTGTCCTGTGTCGTACCATCATGTATAATGTGTGCAGAAAAAGAAACCGCAACAAAATCCGTTCAGTGTTCAGCAAGTAATGACTGATTTAATATGCTGACACATCATTGTGCCTGTCAAACAAATAGCAATGAGCAGAGCTGATGACCAGTCCAAGATGGCGGCTGTATTGTATGTCAGTGACATTAGGAAGTAGCAGTTGATGTAGTTTCTACTCTTTATGATAGATAGATAGATAGATAGATAGATAGATAGATAGATAGATAGATCGATAGATCGATCGATAGATAGATCGATAGATAGATAGATAGATAGACTTTATTGATCCCAAACTGGGAAATTCTCTTGTTACAGCAGCAAAAAATTGAGACACTACCTTGTGAAGACACACGTGTCAGGACAAAAATGAAAGAGAAAAAGATACAAAATTATAAAACACACGGGAGCTGCCGTAACAGGCAGCCGCCTCTCGCGGCGCCACAGCACGAAAAAAGTTATGTCTATGGAAGGAGGCAGGTGTGTGTTTGTCATGTGTTTCTAAAAATCCACAGGGACAACATGCACCGTACGAGAGAGGTTGTAGCAATCACAAGCACTAACGAGCACTAAAAGAGTGTAAATCTTTCTATATTTCAGATCACATTGCAAAAATACTTTGACTCAAGTGAAATCTGGCATTTAAGTATTATCACCAAAGTTAGGCCAAAGCTCTAAAAGTGAAGTGAAGAAGTGATGCTTCGTCCTCTTCAGTAGTACATATGACTTCTAAAAAATTATATAAGGTAAATAAGTTTGGCAAACTGGTTATTAGCTTGCTAAGTAGGGTTGGGTACCCAGAGCTGGTTCCTATTTAGAACCGGTCCCTAACGTCCAGTTCCAGAATCATGAAGCAGATTTTTTAATTTTGATTTTTTTTTGGGGGGGGTTTCCGAGTTCCCGCACTAGTTTGTTTTGGGGGCGTGTGTTACTCCACTTGGTGTTATCTGTACATCTGGTAGCAAGAACATCACTCGTCTGAACATGGACCGCAAAAAACGCTCGAAAGTTTGGCTTTTTTTTTTTTCTTTTTTTTTTTTCTTGAAAGAGGATATTTCTCCCTTTTCTTTCTCTCATCGGCAGACAGTACATGCATGTGTGTTTTCATCCTGCATTTTAAAATAGCCGAAAAAGATAATCGTTAGGAATCGGAATTGAGATGAGGAATCTGAACCCGAATTATTAAAATTTAAACAATGCCCAACCCTATTGCTAAGTAGCCTTGAGAAAATATGAAGAAGAATGTTCATACAATCAAGATTGTGATTCTGCCATATAAAAAAAGATATGATATTCCTGCCATATCTCCATCCTTGCTGTAGAAGTAAAATATTTCTTGTGTACTTCTTTTTCTCTACAGGTCTATTCACCTTACTGTCAAATCTTGGACTGGACAAGTTTTATCCCAACAAGCTCAAACTTAAATCTCTCTTGGAGATCAACAAAAACAGTGTGTATGATGAAGCTGTTTCATCACTTGAGGGAATACCATGGTGTTTTCTCAGAAAACTCTTTAAAATCAACTCAGAGTGCAGAAACTGTAATCTGTTATCAAACAATGATAATGTCAAAGACAAAAAAAATGACGGCTTTGACTTTGACCTTTATGACACAGATGACTCTGTAGACAATGCAGTGAATCTTCTGGACCTCATAGTAGCACTCTTCCTCTGTGCTGACAGTTTCTTACAACAAGAGATGGCCCTCAAGATGTCAATATGCCAGTTTTCTGTCCCACTGGTCCTGCCCCATGGCAACAGCAGTCAGTGTACTTTGATGTTGTGGGCTCTCAGAGACATCGTCAAAGAGTGGCGTCCACATAATATCTCTGAAACAAAAGGGTTCATTGAAAACAACATTGTCCAAGCAGACATACCCTTCTTCTCTTTTGTGAGACTGAAAAACTGTAGTCTATCCAAATCCCAGTGTTTGAATCAAATCCTCAGCCTTGGCCAGCACAATAACAACATGTTTGTGCACAGAGACATGAAAGGAGGAGCCCATAAAAGGGAGATTGCTAGTGGATTGGTGGAGGTTTGCTGGTACTTCCCCAGTGGCAGAGAAAATCTTGACAAGTTCCCAAACGCGATTGCTTTTGCCAATCTGAGAGGAGATTTGACCCAATCACTCACACAGTTCAATTTCCTGTTTCAAGTGTCAACTGCTACCTTTGTCTTCCTGGACAAAATTGAAGAAAACGAGCACAAGATCCTGACTTCTCTTCAAGACGTGAGATCTAAACTGTTCCTGGTTGTGAACCGGAAGGCCAGAGAGGATATGGCATCTGTCAGAACAACAGCGGAACAGTTAGATCTTTCGAAGAATAATGTGAAAACCAAAGACCCTCAGGTAAATGTGGTTGAGTTTTCAGAAAAACTCTGTGAAACCATCAAAACATCACTGGAAAATGTAAAAACTACAATGACAATCGAAAATATGCTTGAAAAGGCAGTTGAACTTGGTCTGTCTGAGGATGAAGGCAGAGGTAAAAACCAAAAGAGGATTGCTGAAGAGATTGTGAAAGGTATTGGTGTGAAACCCATCCCTGACTACAAGAACCAACAACTTCCATTGCAAGGTGAAAACTGGAAAAAGTTGTCTGGGTTAGAAATGGAAGAGTGTAGGTTAAAAAAAGCTAGTGTTGACAGACTGGAAGAATATAAATCTCACCTACAAAAAAAAAAACAGGCTATTATGGAGGAGCTTGGAAAACAAAAACCATCCAAGGCTATGAATAGTTTCATGGAACAGCTATCTGCAAAAGATAAGGAGGGAAGAGATTTTTTCCTGAGGTGGATGAAACTCAAACTGAATGCACATTTGCAGTCTGCACTGCAAAATTCTTTGCTACGTCAAAAATTGACATGGCACTTTAATAAAGGCACCAAAGACAACCAAGAGATGGCTGAGCTGAATCAGGCTTTGCTGGAAAGCTCTCTAGGAATCGAGCATTACATGAGAGAGATGGGACTGATCTATGAGTTTTCCTCACAGTCACCACACACTGGTGATAAAGTATCTCAGCTCCCTGGTTTGGCTGCTGAAATGCTGTTGGATGGATATCCTTTAGAGCTGCTGGATGGAGATGCCTCCAACATCCCACAAAGATGGGTGACAGATGTGCTGACGGAGCTCCACAAAAAGGTTGGAGAAAAGAGCAGACTGCTGGTGCTGGCTGTGTTGGGTGTTCAAAGTACAGGGAAGTCGACACTCCTTAACACCATGTTTGGTGTACAGTTCCCAGTCAGCAGTGGCAGATGCACAAGAGGAGCCTACATGCTTTTCCTCAGGGTAGGTGAGGACATGAAAAACCAGTTGAACTATGACTTTTTAGTTCTCATTGACACAGAAGGTCTGAAATCTCCCTCTCTGGCACAATTAGAGGACAGCTATGAGCACGACAACCAGCTGGCAACCTTTGTCATTGGCTTAAGTGATGTCACCATTATCAATGTTGCGATGGAGAACTCAACTGAAATGAAAGATGTCCTTCAAATTGCAACTCATGCATTCTTGAGGATGTCAAAAATAGGTAAAAAGCCAATCTGTCATTTTGTGCACCAAAATGTTGCTGGAGTTTCTGCCCACGCAAAAACCATGACAGAGAGAAAACTGCTTTTAGATCAACTAAATGAAATGACTCAGATCGCAGCCTCCATGGAAAAACAGGATGGCATGTTATTCACAAATGTGCTGGACTATGACATGGAGAAAAATAACTGGAACATCCCAGGACTCTGGCACGGGACTCCACCAATGGCTGCAGTGAACACCGGTTACAGTGAAGCTGTGGCAGATTTCAAGAGGAATCTCTTGGAGACAGTAAAAAGAGACGCAGGTGAAGGTGTGTCCAAGATCCCAGAGTTTCTAAAGTGGATGAAAAGTCTCTGGAGAGCAGTCAAGTTTGAGAACTTCATCTTTAGTTTCAGAAACACTCTGGTGGCCAATGCCTATGAAAACCTTTGCAAAGAGTTCAATCAATGGGATTGGGATTTCAGAAAAGAGATTTCCTCCTGCCAAAAAGCAGCAGAAATGGAAATCTCAAACGCTGACAATGATGCTGAGCTTCATCATTTGAATGACCTGGTTAAACTTAAAAAGTCAGAGGTATCCAGTAATATAAAAGAACAACAAAAAATAATGCATCAGAAACTAGAAGACTACTACAAAAGGAAAGACAGACATGTGAATCTGATAGTGAGATACAAAAGTGAGTTTTTCATCCGAATCGACAGTCTGTCAAAAGAAATCCAACGTTCAGCAAACAATGACTTGGCTTGTGCACTTGAGCATAAAAAAAGTTCGATAGAGGCTGAAAAACTTCAGAGGAAACACAGAGAAGTCATTGAGGAACAGGTTATGAAACTCTTGAGTGACTGCAAAAACCGCTCACTATCTGACGATGAGCTCAAAGAAGAGTTTGAAAAGAAGTGGGCTGAAGTCACAGTAAACGTAACCGGCCTAAAAGAACGAGATATACCTGCAGAAATCCTCAAGCAGTTGAAAACAAATCTCTCAAATCAACCAGTCACTGAAGAATTAAACAAAATCACAGACCTCAAAGAGATCGGGAAGGACCAATTTAAGGCCAAAAAAGAACATGTTAAAATGAAAGGCCTCAAAAATTACCTGTTGCAGAAAGACATAAAAAGAGAATTGCAGAGCCTGGCAAACAGCACAATTGGGACTCTCAAACAATATGTGCAAGGTAAAGCAAAAACAGACCGTGACTACCATGATTCTTTCACTAAGGGTCTTCTGGAGGATGCTGATTACTTACTTCAGCCAAACCAAAAGAAATACGAGCCCAAGTTTGCTGCTGAACTGAAAATTCACATCTGTGGAATTTCTTCAAGAGAGTTTCTGCACATGCACAGGAAATACTTGGCCAAAAGAGATCCAAAAGTGAAGCTGGAAGAGAAAAAGCAGCAGTACTTGGCAGATTTTATTGATATCTTCAGAAAGAGGGACCATGGTCAGCGCAAAGGTATTGATTATGTCAAATTTTGTATCAAACCTGCAGTTGAGGAATACATCAGCAGATCCCTGGGGGAAGAGATTGTGGATGAAATCTGCCATTCAGCCGAGTACAGTTCACGCTCATTTTTCCAGTACAACATTCAGGAAGAGTTGCTGCAAAAGCACAACTTTGAAAGTTTTGTCAAGTACATTGATGAGTATGAAGTTTTTGTTAAGGACTGGATATTTCAGAATGTTATGCAAAAAATGTCAGAGGGCCAGACTTTGAGCAAAGTGAAGACAAAACTTCTGCAGGACATAGTTAACAAAATCACAGAAGCATTAGAGCAGTCCACAAAATGCAGTGATGGCACTCTGTTGCAAGAAAATCACGAAGGCATCCAAGAGCTCATGAGCAATGTGCGCAAGTACTTGAACAAAGACATCTCAATTTCAGTGGAGGATGAAAAAACCACTCTGTTTCAAATCCAATGCACACGTCATCAATTCATCCACAGTTTCCAACGTTCATTGGAGGACCTTAAAAAAGAGCTGCAGAAAGAATTCTCAAACTCTGGTGACATTTCTGACATTCTTATCAAACTCCCCACCAAACCACAGGATGAGCTCTTTAAGCGGATGTTTGGATGTGGACACCGATGTCCATTTTGTAAAGTTCCCTGTGAGGCTGGAGGGAAGGAACACAGGCAGCATCATGCAGCTATACATCGTCCTCAAGGTCTTGGTGCGTACAGGATTGATGACACAGAGAAGTTGCTTGAAAGCTTGTGTACCACAGATGTCCACAGTGAACGTACATTCATGAACGCAGACACAGAATGGGAGGAGAAACCTTATAAGGCCTACGCCACATACTATCCAGACTGGAACATTCCTCCTGATCAAACCATACAGGCGTCTGACTACTGGAAGTATGTCCTGGTCACATTCAATGACAGATTTGCTGAACAATACGATGCTAAGCCTGCCGATGTACCGGAGACCTGGAGGAGCATCACAAAGGAACAAGCTCTGACAGGCCTAAAAGAAGCCTTTAATGTAAAGTGAACACAATCAAATATCCTCCAACATTTTCACATTGAAAAGATGTGGGAGTTTGACCATGCACAAATGTGCACAAAAAGAAAAGGATAAACAAAATCACAGGAGATTTATCATGCTAGAGCATTCAGTAAAACTAAGAGTCAGTTAGGGAGAATACAAAATGACAAGTTGAGATTTTTTAACCATGACAGTGATGATGATGAACTCCAAGACATTTGAGCTTATGTTTGTTCTCTCTCTTATAGCTTTTGATTTTGCAGGACCTCCTTGCTGTATGCATTGTAAAACATGCTCAAGAACCAAGATAATGTTTGTTTTTATTTTTTGACTGTTTTTCTTTAAGTTAATGTATGACTCTGCCTTATAACTGGTATGCACAGTAATTAGGATGAAGAGTTTTTTTAAAAGATCATATGAAAAATGCTGTGTTTTTTTTTTACAGTGTTGTCAGATTCATATTTTACACTGCACAGCAGAATTTCTGGTTTTCAGTTAAAAACATGTACCAATGAAACAAGAAAAAAGTGCTAGTGATGCTGTCAGAAAAATGTAAATATTACAGGACTGCTGATGCTGAAAACATGATTTTATTGTCCTTTTTGATTATTTTTGTGGTTCTTATTTTTTTTTTGGGAAGATTTTGCTCTCTGTAGGAAGCTAAAGAGGCTGATGCTGTGTTTGATTGTGTTTAAAGACTGTAACAGATGTTTTCCAAAATCTTTGAAGATATCCAGTTTTTCAGTTTATTTCCTATGAGACTATGGAAAAACAAAGAAGAATGTATATTATTCACATGGAAAAAGGCTTCATGTCACTATTAAATTTCAATTTACTGATTTTAATGTGAATAAAGTTGCAGCGCAAATGTATTTCTGTTGTCTTTTTAAGCTTTTTTTATTAGAATGAAAATACTTTTTAACATCAATCTTTCCAGCTGTTAGTCGGCAGCATTACTACAGAAAAAGCTAAATTTGTTGCTAGTCGCTTTGTTGAAGAAAAAAATTTGCAAGGGGGGTCTGAAAAGTCGCTAAAGAAAGTGACAAAGTCCCAAAGTAGGTAACACTGGTTACAGAGTATTGATATTCCTTCTTTAGCTATTTGTGAGAGGAGAACCCATTAAAGTCGAAGTATACAAACATTTGAGGAGCTCAAACTGCAACAGAGAAGAAGAGTGAGAAAATCCTGGTCATCAGTCAGTGAACAGGACGTGAAAATTACAAACTGCATGACTGTAAAACAACTCATTGTTAGATTTGTCATATAGATGCTGTTTATCTGCTGCATCAAACACTTTGTGAGACATTAAGTCTGCACTCATAAACCGCCAACTATTCCAGGAAAAAACCACAAGGGGGCGCTCTGATCACAAAAAGTTTTCAATGAAAGACTCCACAAAAGTGCTTACCTGACAAAATCTACCTGTAGAGGAAGAATACAGGGCACAGTAATCTTTGAATACGACAATGATCTAGCTCCTTATTTCACTATCTACAGCACAAAGTGGTTCATGAATCTGTTCAAGATTAAAAGAAAACAGAGATACACATTTGCAGCCTTTGTTTCTCTATGTACAGTCCCCTAACTAGGAAAAAAATTTGCCATTTAGGGGGTTGTGTAAAATTATGAGCTTAACAAATTCATGCTTGATGTTGTTAATACCATATTCAAGTTCTGCAGCGAGGACTTTGTCATGTATTGCAGCAGTATCCTCATACAGTGACAGTGATTCCTAAAGTAGCAAATAATTTCTGCTTACAAGTGTGTGTGTCTGTCGTAATTAGACAAGGCTGTGGAAAACTAGATGAGCAGCATATTAATCCACACACATATACACACACAAGAATAACACAATCTGCGTTGTGGAATGCAAAGAGATATACAGAGAGAGCGAGGTAAAGTCCTTCATAGCCACTCCTCTCATTTTGAATCATGTACTCACAGCGGGAGCAGCCTGGTTTCAGTGTTACAGCGACGTCACTGTTTAGATAATTGCAGCCACCTACCTGTACAGGCAGGAATGACGGAAGTACTCCACCATTTTACCAGGGTGAAACAGAGCAGTACTTTAAGAGCTCAAAATGTTGGTCAGTAAAATCAGAATCATGTGTGGGCAAAATGAAGGAACATAGAAAAAGACAGAGAGATAAAATCACCTGATGTTTGCAGTGAAATCTAAATTTTCTGAGGTGAAAGTTGGAGAAAGACAAAATTGTACCACAATGAATGTTCTTCATTACTTCTCGGAGTGTCGTCACTTTTCACATAGCAAGTCCAGAAAGGCTGCATTCCACAGCTTCACTCCTCCTCCTCCGTCTCCTCCTCCAAAGCATGGGTGTTTGGGTCATAGCCTCTCGCCAGCCTGAACACACAACAGCGTGGAGAGAAGAGGCATCAATGAAACCGAGCAGAGCTTAAACTCACAGGTAAGTGTGTTTGAATTTCTCTGTTATCTGTCAGCTGTTTTTGTGTCATGAAATCATCACAGTGAGTCAGTTCTTCGAGAAGTTTTTGTTTCTAATATGAATCGCTGTTAACCTCTTTCTGGGCCTATTAATTCAATGCTTTTTAAGAGTATCAATCTATATTTGTGTCTAAATATTTCACAGTTAGCTAACTCTCAACGCTTCCATCAGTAAGCTTCAACAGCAACTATTTTTGCTACTGATTGTAATGAGTAGTGAAAATGAAGTCAAAATTCCATGTTTAAAACCTTAAAAAATTTAAGACATGCTTTTAAAATTAAAAAGACAGGCTGGTAGACAAATTTGGTCATTTATAACTTATTAAAGAAAAATATGGAAATGATTTACTTCTTACATTTTTCTGTTGAGAAATCTAAATCACCACGACTAATTTCAAATCAAAGGTCCCACATTTTTTTCTCAAACCAATGAAACTATAGGTTATATCCATAAAATGTGTTTTTTCATTGATAACTGGAAGTTTCTTCTCATTATTGATATGTGGTGATGGTGAGGATGAATTTGAACAGTGGAAGTTGGTAAACAGAGACTGGAGGTATGAGTGGGTGGAGTCTGAGTCCTCCAGGAATGTCAGCATGCTCTGCCACATTCCTGCAGCCAACAAACCTGTGTATCTTCTCCTGCAAACACTGGGCACATACACAGACAAAAACTTTCATTCACACACTGTCAGATACCTGGTCTCTGTAAAACAGGAATCTGAACATTTGATACCGAGCTGCTGTGTTTGACTGATAATCTGAGGCTTTTCTGTGTAACTCAAAAAACATTTTAGGGTTGTGCACAATAACAGCACCTGGGAATGATCACTTTTGGAGCTATGGGGGTACTGGGCTGTCATGATTTTGTATAAAAAAAATTATTACACTGATTACTGATTACACTACGTGTAAACAGTATTTTGTTAGCGCTGGTGTGCCAATTCAACTCAGTATCAAAGACACACCATCTGTAAAAAGTAGGGCTGAAGACAGTACATTAGGATTACATTTTAGGCAAAAAGTAATTATTTGTCGCTGCTGTCCCCATTTCTCTCTCTCTCTCACCCTCGTTCTCTACTCTCTCTCTCCCTCCCTCTCCCTTACTCATTCGCTCTCTTCTTCCCTCTATCTTGTTCTCTTTCTGGTCCTGCTCAAGGTTTCTGCCTGTTAAAAGGAAGTTTTTCCTCGCCACTGTTACTCATGTTAGATGAGATGGGCCAAATTCCATTTTAGGTTGGGTCTTGATAATTCATCAAACAATGAGAGTGGTCTAGACCTGCTCTTGTTCTTTGTCTTGGGATGACGACTGTTGGGAATTGGAGCTGTATAAATAAAATTTGATCGATTGATTGATAATACGGACTACTTCTTTGTATCTTTGTGTCTGTTTATCCAAGGATCCATGAGATTTGTTGGACTGAAACTGCTGCTTCCACTTTCTCTTTTGAAATGTTACTAAATTACATGTTACTAAATGTATATCTGTGGACCTAACTAGTGAGTCAGAAAGGCAATTGTGGACCCTGGTTACAGAGTTCAAGAAATATATATTAATTGGATTTATCTTCCTACCTAACTTTTTTTTTTAACAAACGGATTTTTATTCCTTTACACTGACTTATTGGAGAAAACGGTTATAAAGTTGGTTAAGACTTCTTGAATTGAGCTGCAGTAAAGTTAACAAATTAGCTCAACTCATCGTTGTAATCATCAGTGTTCAGGACCCACACTAACCCGTCCATTAATCCGTCTATTGTAAAATGGTCGTCGGTCATGAACGTCCAACGGTCGAAATACGCTCGCGAAATGTCGGCGTCTATTGTAAAACGGTCAACGGTTGTTTCTATGGCAACTGCGAGGGGCTGTGGCTAACGTTAGCCTATATTACACCACATAAATTTAAAATATTACCTAAGCGGCGCTTACCCGCAGTAATAATTCAGGTCGTACAGATAGTCCTTTACATTACTCTCGTCCTCGCAGTGCAACCAAGCCCTCATGTTCATTTTCATAGGCTCTAGCCTACGTTAGCATTTCCGGTGCTAGGACTAGCCGTCCACGACCGTTGCCCCCCACCACCGTAACAGGCTACTAGCTTCGACACACCCGTAAGTATGACAGATTTTTTAACTTTTCCGACTGTAAGCGACACTTCGACAATTACTCGCTAAAGTCACCCAATTCTGTCTCTTACGGAGAATTAAACTCGCCAACTGTGCGCTCAAACGTACCTGCCAAACAAACGAACGGTTATGAACGTCCAACGGTAAAACGCTCGCGCAACGGTGACGTCATCACGTAAATAGCCTCTTTGCAGGAAATAGATTTTTTTTAAATCATCCAAGATAATTTTTTTAAAATTACGACAATTGATGATATGATAATGAATGATAATGATTGTGCGAAATTTAAAATAATTATTTTCCTACTTAAAATTTTCTGGTAAATGCAGAAAAACAAGTCAGAGTTTCTTTTTCTCCACAGAAATCAGTACACTACCGTAAAATATGGATACAATGAAAAACCGCAAATACTAGCTTCACTATATTGATGCAGAAAAGGTCCATTACAATTATAAAACCTGTGAGCTATATAACTATAACTCTTAGAATTAAATTACCATAGATTTTCATACACCAGGGAGAAGCAACAAGTAATATCATTTTTTAAATTATAAGTATAATTTTAATGATCATTTGGCACAGCTCAGCATTAGAGCCCCTCATTAACCACATCAAATCTGTCATTTGTATTTAGTATATCTAGTCGACCTATCTGTATGTTTTCATCAATTGCCTGTTAGCCATAATTTTTCTCTTACGTATGTACTAATAATCCTGTTAACACAAAAACTTTTATCTTGGTTTTGTTAGTCAGAACTGACCATTTTTAAATGACATGGTTGACACTAATCTCTCCTGTGTCTGGTGAATGGCTTCAATGATAACAACCTGGCACTCACAGGTCAGCACAGCTGCAGATGCCTTATTACCAATTTTACATTAAATCAGATCATGAATTACAAACCTCACCTCCAGAGAAGTTGGGACATTGTATAAAACATAAATCAAACATAATATAATGATTGCAATCATTTTCTACCTATATTTAAAAGAATATTCTATAAAGATAATATGTTAAATGTTCAAACTAATAAACTTTGTTGTTTTTTGGACCTTTTTGCTAATGGACCTTGTTTTTGATGATTTGAAAAATTTTCTCTGAAGGTCAACAATGAGTGTTTTGTTCATAAAATGAATAAAAACCTGCCTGTTTGTATAGTTTACAGGTGTGTTGTTTTGTGTCTTTGCAGGTTACTGGTGGTGCTGCAACAGAGTGATGGAACTGAGGGTGTGGGTGGAGGGAGTTGTCCGGGTGGTGTGTGGTCTGTCAGTGAACACCTCCTGTCAGGATGTGGTCATAGCTCTTGCACAATCAATAGGTAAGTGACTGTTTTTTTACTCCAAACAGGCTTGTTCATATATCCCCGATCAACTTTTACAGCGGGGTGTATAATATGCAAGTTTAGAAGGTAAACTGGGTTTTTTTTAAGCAAAGAGTCAAAGTTTTCAGTGTCGCAAAGCTGGTGTTCCTGTTCAACAAGGTATGACACGATGCACCCAGCTGTCCCCTCAGTAAAAATTTATCTTGGGCTGAAGTGTTGCACATACTTTACTGCCTCTACAGTACCAATAAATAAAACAATTAAATATATAATAAAATCCAACAATCAATCCAAATTTTTGTCCTTATGCCCGATGTGTTTTCTGCAGGTCAAACAGGTCGATACATCCTCATCCTGAAATTACAAGGCACTGAGAGACAGCTGGTGGCGAACGACTGTCCTCTCCAGCTTTTGTCTCAGCTGGGTCAGCAGGCTGCAGAGGTCCAGTTCGTCCTGCGGAGGACCGGTCCCAGCCTCAGTGATGGTCAAAACACACCTAACAAAGAGAAAGGCGTCCCCCTGCACAGACCAGCAGAACCAGCTCATTCCAGGAGCTTAGCACCACACAAGGCTCTCACCTCCAATCTGGGTCCTTCCACAAACCACAGGAAGACCAAACCAAACAAGGCCTGGTCCACATCCCCCCGAGCCTCCCCAGAGCCGAGAGCTTCCCCGGTCTCTTTCCTAGATCCAGTGTCCTCCTCCTTCTCCAAAGAGGAGGTTTTCAGGCAGATTTTGCAGCAACAGAGGAAACTAGAAGACCTGAAGATTCAGCTTCAGGATCTAGAGAAGGAGACGGAGGTGATGGAGCGACAGACAACATGTGCTTCAGTTTCAAGTTTGGATCCGGTCTCTGAAAAGGAGCTGGAGGAGCTGGAGCAGAGGCTGAGTCTGAACCAGGCAGAGCTGATGCACAGCGAGGACTGGGAGAGACAGCTACAGGAGGAGATAGACAAAGAGCGAGGTTTGTCTTTAGTTCTGTTTACTACGGTGGCTCTTAAGGTACAGAAATATTGTGAATATGAAGGCTCCTCTGAACTGGACAGGGAAGACCTTCACATTTCAGTCAGTTTAATGTCATGCCACACTTTGCACAACAGCATGGGTCTGTAGTAAAGCCCCGGTGCTGAACCGGCCTGCCTGCAGTCCTGACATGACAACCACTGAAAAACATGTGTTACATGATATGAAGCTGAAATCCTATATCAGAGAAGAATGGGACAACATGTCCTTTTTGTAACTCCAGAAACTGTCTTTGTAGTTACCTAACATTTACAGAGTGTTGTGCAACAGAGGTGAAGTAACAAAATAGGGTAATTCTCCTGTCCTGACTTTTTCAAACATGTTGTCAAATTTAAAACGAGCACATATTTTTCACGAAACTGTAAATATTTATAGTTTGTAGTTACAGTACTATTTTTTACAACAGTGCCACCCAGTGGTTGAACTGTGCTAAATGAGGCCCAATTCCACCCACTACCCTCTGTTCAACTAAATGTACTCATAAGATAATTAAATGATTAAATATAGTGTAAAGCAGGGTTGTTGTTTTTTTTTTTTTTTTTTGTACTTTCTGGGCCACCATACTTTATATTTTCCACATCTTTTTAAACGAGCAGTCCCTCTGTCCAACATCTCTCAGGAGTGTAAAAACTTTTGTCCTCAGATATGCACAGACGTCTTCATGAGATACAGCTGTCCATGGATGATCACAGCTTTCAGATCAGTGAGCTTCACGCTCACTCTACGAGTCTGGAGCAAGACCTAAAACTCACAGCCCACAGACAGAGCTCTCAGACGGGCCCCCAGCAGCTGGATGAGGCCCTGAGGCCCCTGAAGCAGGAGCTCCATCACCGGCTGCAGCAGGAAAAGGAAATGGATGCGAGGTTGTCGGAGACACAGAGGGAGCTACAAGCCACAGATGAACAGCTGCAGGTAGAGCTCTGTAAGCAGCTGTTATATAACAGTATGTCTAAAACACTAATGTCTCTGCCACTCTGGTTGATGCCTTTGTGTTGAGTCTGCACACCTAACTTTATGAAGATCACAGACAGTGCTCTACTGACAACAGCTTAGGTGGAGTATTGCAGAAAGATTCTTGAGGTTCTTGATACTTTTAACATAAATCAAGGACAAGAGGACTGACGTATTTGAGTCACACCAAATGCATCTAACTCTGCACTGTCCCTCGTGGTAAAATAATATTCCCTGTCTCCTTTAGGACAAGCAGGAGCTGATTGAGGAGCTGAACAAGGAGCTGAGACAGTGTAAACTGCAGCAGTTTATCCAGCAGACAGGTGGTCCACATGCAGACCAGACGAACTCTCTTCAGACCTCAGAGGTTTACCTCAGGAACGCTGGGATCATGGAGTAACTGAGGCCAAGTCTCTGTACATCACCGGAGTGTTAAACATGATGGTAAACAGCCGTAGAGGAAGGTTATTTCTGTTTCTTTATATTTCTGATTTATGGATGTTTGGTCGTCCTATCTGAAGAGGCCTAACTGTCGAGGAAGTTAACAGGCCATTTACTGTAATTTAAATGAAGTAAGAGTCGCAAAAGTGTTCAAAGAAGTTTTATTTTCTCATGCTAAGAAAACAGAAACAGTCAAATTTATGTTTAGAAAAACTCCAATAAAGACCTCCTGAGCAGAGAAAGAAAACTAGACAGACAAGAAGAATTTATGGATATTAAGTTTTTTAAAAATCCAGATTTCAGCAGAATTATCTTATTTAACATACCTGATGTAAAGTTATTTTCATGTTCAGTGTAATCTGTCGAATATGCAGCTTGCAAAGATGTTTATATATTTTAAAAATAATGATAATTGTGAATATTTGGTTGGACAGTTTTTGTATTTGAGAGAATGTGTGTATATCTAAGAAGCCAATCACTGCCACATAATGTCTAAAATGTAATATTTAAAGTGCCAGTATACTGTATAGTGAAATTGATGATAAAAAGAAGGATGGTGATGATACTGCCAACACTGAATGTTTAAATTTTTGCACATGTAAATGTTCTACCTGATTTTGTATGTCTGTAAGTCCTTTTTTATGCAATATTTTATATTTTATTAAAGCCTTATTTGTTTTTGAATGAAGTGGGGGTGTAATTCCTGTTTGGTGAAGTAATGTAGTTTACTTTTGCTGCACTAGAGGACACCAAAGTTTCATGATTGAATACATCTGACTGAAATAATCTAAGGCTGTGTCTCATTTCAGAGACCGCATCGGGATAAGCGCGCTTAACGGCGCTTAGCTAAGTGCACTACCGTTTTGTGTCGTTATGTGCCCTTCCTGTGTCCCATTTCAGAGACCGCAACCGTCGAACGGCGCATCTGAAGTGTGCGTGAGGTCATCACGCGGCACGAACAGTGTCCCTTTTGGCACAAAATACTAAGCGCGCTTCAAATTCGATCTCAAAACCACAGTACCCCCGTCTCTTTTTCAAGCGTGCATTTATGCACGCTTTCGTGCCGTCTGTATCCCAGAATTCTTTGCGTGCCGCTGCACAGCTTCGCATTTCAGGCGAGAGGCTGGACTCGCTTGGAGACACAGCGCGTCTTCAAAGAAAATGCAAGAAATCCAAAAACAGCAGACAGTCAGCTCAGGCTGTATGAGAGCATGATCTCTGAACTCACTAAAATATGTAAACCAAACATTTTAGTATTTCGAGACATTTAGTATTTCTTGTATTTTCTTTGAAGATGTGTCTTCATCTATTCCCGGATGGCCGGTGGCTGAGCAGAGGGCGTAGTCCGCTGCTCAGCCGATGGTCATCCGCCGCGCGGCGGATGGCCGGTGGCTGAGCAGAGGGCGTCCCCAATAGGGCTGTGACTAACAATCATTTTGATAATCGATTAATCTGTCGACTATTTTTTATCGGATAAACCGGCTAAATTCATCAATGCAGCTGTTAATAGCAATAGCATACGGCCTTAAGTTTATCATATGAGTTTATATGCCATGAGGTGTTGAGGTCTCTGCATGTGTAGGATACTGATTTACTGTAATCATCAGAGCCGGATTAACCATGAGGAATAGTGAGGCTGAAGCCTCAGGGTGTTTGGCTATGGGGGGCCACTCAGTCCGAGCAGAAGCCGCTATGACACTGATGAGCTGCGCCCGGTGTGAGGAGGATTAGGCTGTATTGGGAAAGAGGAAAAAGTGCCTAGAAAGTGAATCTCGTTCCACTTCAGTGGGGCAACATAGACTGTGATTCATAAAATAGCTCTATTGATAGTTAGTACTAAAAAAAATATCTACTCATGCCATCCTGTCGATTTTTAGTAATCAGTGTTCCGGTGTCGAACTATTTCCTTTCTGCGGCGTAGTGATACTTCCACACGCGCAATCGAATATGCAGAGGGGTGAAGCGATTTTTGTCACGTGGACCAATAGGAGCCGAGTCTCGTTGCCATAGTATCAGAAATACACAAACATGGCGACGAGCGCGTCTACCAACGAGACAAGCGAGGAGGAAGAAAAGAAAAGGAACAAAAGAAAACAGCCTTCAAAAGTGCATCAAAAAGGAACGAAACGATGTTATATGCATCTATCATCTGTCCAGAGTGAAGACGTTCTCGACTTTACAAGGACACGTTGGGAAACTTACAGAACTAGTATTAGAAAGTGGCCTTCTCTACAGGGTGAAACAAAAGACCAGCCAGAAATGTACATATATGTGAGTAACACAAAAAAACGATTATATGGTACTGCTGTTTTTGCTTGTAGAAACTGCTATGTTGATTCTGGCAAGACAAAATCTTTCTCAAATGTCATAAATACATCTACCTAACATCTGAAACAGTTAATGGTGCCTTAGTATACGCATAAGTGAATTCAGATTATGAAATGTAGCAAATTTCTTGAAGAAAACGTCTCAACTCAAGTGATTTGCACCCAGCACAATGAAATATATACAGTATATTTAGCTAAAAGCTTATGTTTCATACATAAAAATGACACAACCTACTGTGTAATAAAAGCAATAAAATATAAACAGCACATCATGGCTGAAAGTCAGTCAAATTGCTACCACGCTCCCCAAAATTGAAATAATGGAAAAAATGTAACAAGACAAAAATAAATGCACAAAAGGACTGAATTAATTCAAAATATGGTATAAAACATTTATTCAAGTATCACAGTGTCAAAACCTCTGACATTTATCAGTCCCTACAGAATATGAAAATAAAGATCAAAACACAAACGCAGACAAATGTAGAACAAATATAAAAATAATAAAAATCTCAAATCTCAGTGTAGCAATCCTTTAAACAAAACAAATTGTATAACCATAACAGGCCTTCATATCATGCCTTACACTTTTATTTATAATGCTTGCTATATACTTATAATTTAACATGCCTGAGGTTTTCTACAGTAAAAAAGTGAACTGTACACCAGCCTCTGTGCTTTCCTTGAAGACTTTTTCACTACCTCTTGTTGAATTGAGTTCAGACACACAGTTGTATTAACCCAGTGGTTTGGCTAGAGGTGGTGACTAGTGGAACCATTAAATAACCACCCATAACTGCAGTAATTTCCACAAAATGACCAATGAAAACTGCCAATTTTTTGCGCGCGCGGGACAGACGGGGGCCATTAGGTTTGCTTAGCCTCAGGGGCCACAGAATGTTTAATCCGGGCCTGGTAATCATCGGGTCCATCTCGTCCTTATAAAAACCTGCTCTATTTCGGCGAGTGTCTGTCTTCTTCTGTAGTCAAACCGCAAGATATCAAAATCTACCCGGATACAGCAATGCTGCTTTTTGATTGGCTGTTCAGTAGATATACTTTATTTGATTGGCTTGCGCGTGGCACGCAGCTTCTGAACTCTCGGAGAAACTCAGTTGATTTCCCCCTGTTCCATAGTTAAAGAAGTGCAACTTAGTGGACATCACCGTGTTCATTTAAATGCGTGAGAAATACAATGTGTGGTGTGTGAGCGAGTGGGAATGCGTGTGTCATACGCTGAATGCGTGAGACTTGAGAGCCCTGTGCTCACGCATCATCGATGTACTCTCGTGCCATGCTAAACAGGCTTTGCAAATGTTGCACTGAACGCCTTCCTTTTCAGTCTTGGTGAAGTTTGCCCACACCACTGATGTTTTAGGTCGGGATTTGGGTTGGGTTGTGTCCATGTTTTTCTCAGCCGCTGCCTCGGCCATGGCTGTTTCTTTTCTGTGCGTCCTGCTGATGTTTACACGCCGGTGTCCATGGACATATATAAAGACCCGACGAATCGATTACAGAATTAGTTGGCAACGGATTTTTTCGTTACGACGAATCCACTTAATCGACCAATAAGGCTTGAACCCACTGACTCATGTGGACACACGAGACAATCATGTTTTTTCCATATATCATTGTACTTTGTAGACTCTAGACCTTCAAAATTCACCAATAAGTGGGCAAGGTAGGACTCGAACCTATGACCTCAGGAGTCTCAATCAGTGTTCTTATCCCCTGAGCCACTTGGACATACAGGGTCATTCCATTTGTTTCCTCTTTTAATTTCCTGTCTAGACACTAGACTTCAAAATTCACCTTGTCCCGAAAAAGGCTCGAACACACCACCTCATAGTAGGGTCTGTTAACTTGAAAAAATGGCCAAATTGTTATGCGGTGGATAAAAGCACCAAATTTGGTACACACATTCTTTAGGGTGTATCTCATCATCTCAGAAGGGGTGCCCAAAAATGCATGAGTGAGGGCGCGCTGCGTCTCCAAGCGAGTCCAGCCTTTCATCTGAAATGCAAAGTTTTTAAATAAACTACTTTGTATTTGTTCATGCCATCTGTGGGCTCATGTAAGTGTTGGTGCAGTTTGCTCATCATCCAGCAGGTGGAGATGTTTCTCCATTATGAGCTTTGACAGCTTGCACCGTGATTGCATAAGAAAAGTGATGAAACAAGCTGAAACACACACACACACACACACACACGCACACACACACATACACACACATAGGAAGGACTTTGGCTGAACTGATAAACTAAGACAGTGTTGTTTTTTTTCTCCTCTGAACTCTCAAATCAATCAATTAATCAATGATGGTAACCGAGCAGACCCTGCTGATCCAGGTTTTCCTGCTGATCCAGGTTTTACCAGAGCCTGTTTTCAGAGCTGTCAATCAGACACTTTTATAGCTATGAACTCCTGTAAAGAAGTAAACAAACTAGAACAACCGTGCATGTGAAGGAACACTTTTCTGCAGCTTTCTATCCGAATGTTTTTTAACGCTTTGCGAAAACATCTCAGATATGAAAACAGCGATGGACAGCTGCAATAATCTGACATAAGATTAGACATGAGATAAGATGAATATAGGATGCATACATAAATCCATACATACACTGTCTGAAGTGCATGTTCTGTTTGGGTCGTTAGAGCCAATCTTTGTGTGTTTATTTCGTAACCCTCCAGATGGGTCGTCACTGCGACTCCACATACAGATGAATCCGCTGAGTGATTGTGTGCGGCATCATCTTGCATCGCTCTTATCACAGAGAAAGCAGCTCAGTGTGATGCCGCATTTATAGACAGATGCTAGAAGTAAGAGATCCACTAAAAGTATCTTAACGTTTGGGTTGTACATCAGCTGCAACAACTGCCTGATCACATTTCACACAGAGGAGTAGAGGAAAACTTGACCATTCCCCACTTCTTTGTACAGGGTTACATAACATTATTGCATTATGCTGGTTATATTAAT